TGGCTAATTAGAATATGAATTAGCATGTTGTAGTTAATAGAAGAAAAGCCCTAAATTATATTTTGGTTGGGTAAATTATAATGGGGGTTTGTTGAGCATTGTGTGTAAATCTCTTTTGTCAAAATGAGTGTGGTAAGGGTGTTAATGCCTAAGGGATTATCCATGGCTTTGGAGTTGATTTTATGGAAACAAGATTAGTGGAGTTGGTTTTGTGATAACAAAAAGGAAATGGAATCGTTTTTGTGAAAATGAGGGAAGTGTTTTCGAAATAAGTTTGAGAATTGGATTGTTGTATCTTGAGTGTTGAACACACATGTGGAAGTTGTTTCTTTAATTACCATGTTAATATTGTTGTTGGGTTTGTGATTCATAATATTTGAGTCTTTTAATAGATGTACTAACTATATGCATCTAGAGGTTTTGTCCTTGGTCATCGGTGGAGGATGACACGGTTGTGTAGAATTGTCGGGTTTGCATTTTGCCATTGATTAATAGAACATCGCATGTGATGAAATGTTGAGATACATTGTATATGTATGCTTGTTCGGGAAGAAGTAGTTATGTGTTCATATACTTTAACACATTGCTGATGTCTTTATAGTTTATGTATATGCATTATACATGTTGGTTATGCCTTGATGTGCTGTGATTGTTGGTGTTGTGCCCCGCGCTGAGAATCAAAGGTATCATACCCTTCCAGCTGGCGACTGGAGAACTAACCGCGCTTAGAATCAAAGGTGTCATACCCTTCCAGTTAGCACCTGGAGAACTGACTGTGCTAATAATCGAGGGTACCATACCCCTCCAGCTAGCACCTGGTATACTGGCTTGTTGTTATGTTGTTGAGTGGGGTGTATTGTTGGCTTACTACGCACATAGCTAGTAGGGAGAAATGGGATTGTTGTTGTTTCGTTGTAACTGAAAATATCATGGATTTGATTGGTTACAGTTCGGAGGACCGAGTTACTCCATTGGTTGATTGTATACATGTTGGTGGGTTGTAAATTTATATTTTTTTACAAAGATATGCATGTATAGTTATGATAGTAATGGAAACGAACCAAAATGTCATTTTTGTCTTTTGGAAAGTGTGGAGGAGAACGAATGTTTTATAGATAAACATGTTTGAAAAGGTACTTTTGAGTATGTATAGGAAATGGAAGAGAGTATCGGGCTTAGTGAGATTACTTCCTAAGTATTTGTTAATGTTAGGAAAGATTGGGAATGGGGGTTAATGAAAGGAAAAAGGAAAGAAAAACTCCTTGTAGCGTTGAATGAAACGGTTGTTTTCGAGAAAAGTTCATACATATATATATTTGTATAAACTGTCACATTACTATTCTAGTATGAGAATGAGTGTTCATGATCATAGCTATCTGTAAGTTGTTATTGTTGAGGATCATGTTGAGTTCCCTACTGGACTATATGTTCATCCCACGTTGTTGAATCTTTTTCAGGTATTAAGCAGGTTGAGCTACAAGATTTGGATCTACTTATTTACTGGCCACGGGGCCTCAGTTATGTTGGCGGAATGCCATTGTTGTAAAAGGGTTACACCCTTCTTCTTGTACCTTAAGTGATGTAAGCCCAAGGGCAATTTATTAAGTATGTTCATGTAATATTTACTTTGCATACGAATGAGAGTATTGTTAATCACTTCTACGGATTGAATGTATGAGTTTATTTCCGCATGTTATCCTTGAAATTGAATTAAGTTAATGAATTCGGCAATGACTTCGAATAATAAAAAGTGGGGCGTGCCACTTGAATAAAAAAGAAAGTTAAATAAAAATAAAAATGGAAGTTGCAGCAAATTAAAAATGGAAATTCGTTCAAGAAACCATTATACCTTAACGATCTATTTGAAAATTAAATAAAAAAGGAAGTTCAATAGAAAAGTAAATTGAATAAAAATGAAAATTGAATAAAATTTGGTAATGACTTCGAGTAATAAAAAGTGGGGCGTGACAACTTGGTATCAGAGCTAGCCGGGTTTGAATACTTTGGGCTCGTGGGAAGTGGTTTTTACCACAGTGGGTTTACTACGTATTGTGAGGACATTGCATATAGATATCATGAAAGTTAGGACTTATGTGTTGCATTTATGTGAGCATGGGATTCAGTCTCCTGGATAATATTCATAGCCGGTGAACTTACTTTGAGGTCCTTTTGGAAACACACCTGATCAACGTGGTTTCTGATGGGAATTCCTTGAGAGTTCCTGGATGAGTGGCTATCTTTGTGGACTTGATTCGATTACGTGCTTATCTGTCTAAATGATTGTATGCAATAGAGATGTAAATTTTGAGACTAAGTGTGTCTTGTAACTTAACGGTAGTGGAGTGTGCCTCTCAAACACGAAAGTTCATTCAAGAAACCACTATACCTTAACGATCTATTTGGAAATTAAATAAAAAAGGAAGTTGAATAGAAAAATACCTTGAATAAAAATAACAATGGAAGTTGCAGAAAATTAAAAATGGAAGTTCATTGAAGAAACTACTATACCTTAACGATCAATTTGGAAATTAAATAAAAAACGAAGTTTAATAGAAAAGTAAATTGAATAAAAATGGAGGTTTAATAGAGAAGTAAATTGAATAAAAATGGAAATTGAATAAAAATAAAAATGAAAGTTGCATAAAATTAAAAATGGAAGTTCAATACAGAAACCACTATACCTTAACGATCTATTTGGATATTAAATAAAAAAGGAAGTTGAGTAGAAAAGAAACTTGAATGAAAATGGAAGTTAAATAAAAATAAAAATGGAAGTTGCAGCAAATTAAAAATGGAAATTCATTCAAGAAACCACAATACCGTAACGATCTATTTGGAAATTAAATAAAAAAGAAATTTTAATATAAAAGTAAATTGGATAAAAATGGAAATTGAATGAAATTAAAAATGAAAGTTGTATAAAATTAAAAAATAGAAGTTCAATCCAGAAACCACTATACCTTAACGATCTATTTGGACGCTTGTGTTTTCAGGGAGTAAAGCAACGACGTTTGGAGGAGCGCAGACTTGATCAACGGGATTATACAAGAAGGTTTATTTCTTTCCCATACATGAACGACAGCCAAGATTTTTGTTTAAAGATTTGATGACGAGGGTTTAGAATTGTGCAATTTGAACCACTATATTTTCTGACATATTCCTATTTAATTTTATGTATAGGGATCTCAATGGACTTTCCTTGTTTAGGGGAAGATAGGGGATGGACCTCTAAATCGGATTTTGTTTGGGAGGAGATAGGGGATGTACTCCACGGTTTAGGGGAAGTTAGGGGATGGACCTCTAAACCGGATTTTGTTTGGGAGGAGATAGGGGATGGACTCCATTAGCATCACTTTTATGTGTGCTTATTTATATAGAAGTGTTTTATTGATACAGCACTAAAATGTGTATCAATCTGGAAGTATGAAGTGTTTTGATTTGAGCTTGAGTCTCATTTGTTTGTTGATATTGGAAGGATGTGAATATGATATATGTGATTCACTGTTGTAAGTTTGGCCGGGTTCTGAGCCATGTTGATAAAATTGGAAAGTAAAACATGTGTTAGACAATAGTGTCATGAGACTGTAAAATGAAGTAATTGATTATTTTGGTTAACCATCTGTTGAATGCTATTGCTTTATTCATTGCTTATATGTGGTTTAGTATATTTCTACTGGGCTGTGGCTCACCCTTTATGGGAACATCATTTTCAGGTTCAGGTGATAAGATACCTCCAAGGACTTAGCTTGGAAGGACTTGGAATTCTGGAAGACTACTTTTAGTTGCTTGTTTTTCATTGTTAATACATGTAAACACTCAAGCCTAGGGCTTAATTTATCTTTGAGTTAGAACTCGTACTTTGTGTCCAAGTGTTGGCTTGGAAAGATGTAAGCCTGTAGGGCATTTGATTTGATGTTACATGTATTACTTTTGTTTTTTGTAAAACTCTGATGGGTATTATAATGAATTATTAAAATGTTTTCATTAAATAATGCATGTCAATGATATATATAATGGGTTTATTTTTGAGGGCGTTACAACTTGGTATCAGAGCGTACCGGGTTTGAATACTTTGGGTACGTGGGAAGTGATTAGTATCACATTGGGTTCGTCTCGTTTGATAGAGACCTAGTGTAACGTTATATGCTTATGTGATAACATGTTTATCTGATTATGTGTCCCTAACATTTTTCTATATCTTATTGTGTTTTTATTTACAAATAAAATAAAATTTGAATAAAATCAAACAATGAATGGGAATAACAATAATTTTTTTTAAGCAATCCATCACTCAATTATGTGTATTCAACACTTTATATCACCCGAAACAAAGCGTGATCAAATTCCATGCACTACAAAAAAATTGATTTTTTGCGACGGTAAAATGCCGTCGCAAATACTCAAAATGCCGTCTCAAAAGGTTTTTTGCGACGGTAAGTGGCCTTTTGCGACGGCACGTGGGGGGTCGCAACAGAGGGGGTTGCAAAAGGGCTTTAGCGACGGTATAACGCCGTTGCCTTTGGTTTGCGACGGCAAAGAAGCCATTTTGCGACGGAAAAATGCCGTCGCCATTAATCGTGAAAATCTGACTTTTTTTTTAGACGGCACTGTTTTGCCGTCGCTAAAAGGGATATTTGCGACAGCACAAGTACCGTCGCTAAAAGGTTATTTAAGACAGCACTTGTTGCCGTCGCTAAAGTTCTATTGGCGACAGCAAATTACACCGTCGCTAAAAGTCATCATTTTCAACCAAATACCTTATCTTTTGCGACAGCATTACTGCCGTCGCAAAAAACCCCTATTTGAGACGGTGAATAGGCTTCCGTCTCAAAAAAATAATAATAAAATAAAATAAAAAATAATTTATATATCATATTAGATAGATATATGTGCATGTGACCAATTGAGCACTCAATCTTGTGATGTAAATCAGTCAAGCATGAGTATTCTAAAGAACAATTTATATTAGTAAAAAAACTCGTCCCAAAAATATTATAGAAGCAAGAACAGGGCCGCATGCACTACAGGCAATGTATATAACCATCTGTCATTGTCTATCCTTATTTTTTACAGCACATCAGAGCTTCTTTTCCAAGCTATTTTTCTTGTACTCGTCTCTAACTACCACTTAACACAAACACTAAACTGAGTATAACCCCTGTAGCAACAGCATGAAGAATACAGTCCTTGCACTTCACATATCTGATACAGACCAAAGATATGCTTCGCTTTCCGTGCCCTGTTTCTCGTTCGTCCTTTTAAAGATTTCCTTTTCAAACCCTACAAAACAAATGGAGAGTAAAATATAAGCTGAAGGCATTTTGGGGGCAAAAAATACATCTAACTGAAGAAAAGAGGTGCAAGTAAACAAACCATTACTACAATCGACCCCATCCCAGTGTCTCCCTGGTCTGATGGCATACCGGTTTGGAGGAGCATCTAATCCTCTTTTTAACCAGCTGTGACTAGGAATGTCTTGAGGGACTATAAACCCTGATTCTTTCATCTTATCATCATCTCCTAGGTCTGATAGAACAAGCTCAGGATACTTTTCTGAAACATTGAGGAACAATTCAAAAATCAGTACAAATTTTGGCATTTCAGCAAACTAGAGTCTACACGCACGCAAGTCACTACTAGTTACCTTGACCAAATGTGCCATAGGATCACCCCATCTAACTCTCACCTTATACATTCTGTCATGTTCTGGATCATCTCTGCAATACAAAGGATGTGTACACATAATAAGTTAGGTAATTGAAAAGAAACCATCATTTTCTAGTGATTTGACAGACAGACAGAAGATATAATAAAATAATGCATCAGATCAGATCAAGCAACTTTACATTAGATGCTCCATAGTCAACAAATGACATCAAAACCAAAAAAGATCGGATGATATGTGTACCAAGTGCTTTACATCATCGGAGAAGTCATATTATATATATCAAACTAAGATTATGAGGGCGTAGCCATGAAGCACGGGTACGGGTACGAGTACTAGTACTGGTACGTCGATACAGTAAAATTTTTAAAAAATAGAGTACGGGTACGGCTTGGTACACCTGTAAAAAAATATATTTATTTTTAATTTAGAGTAACGCAAAAATTAATTAAATGATTCAATTTGTTAAGGTCCAACCTACAATTAACATTTAATGTCAAAAGTAAAGGTGTAAAGCAAAATTGAATGCCAATATATTAAATAACTTACAAACCATAGTTTAATTTTAAAATCATAGAAGTTTAGTAAGAAGAAAATATTGTTTTAATTGAGGTACGGTATGGTTATATACTAAATATGTCATGGTATGTCAAAAATTAAGAAAAAATTTAAGTGCACGTTTTGTGTACCGGTACATATGTAGAAGTACATAAGAGATAGTACGGCATGCTTTTTTGAAGTACCATGTTTTATAGGGGCATAGCAATGAAGTGTCATACGAGAATCCCTCACTAGAAAATAATTACTAACTATTACTTCAAACAAAACATGCATAAAAGGCCATCACAGATATGAAGCTTAGCTTCACCAGTTACCTTCTTTTTACTCCTTTCCTTCCCCCTTTTTTTTTATCCTACTAATAATATCATGTTTGCATAGCTAATAAGTCGACCGACCTATGATTCCCTCCTTATAAATAAATAAATAGCACTCTTCATAGAGAAACAACAAGAAGCAATTTCAGAATCAAACCCTTAAAAAAAATTCACAAGCAATTTCAGACAACAACAACAATCAAGCAAGCAATCAATTTCAACGCAATCAAGCAATTTCCAACAAATTTTAAGAGCAACCAAGCAATTTAAAACGAATTTTGAACCCCAAAAGAAATACCTGGATTTCGACCTTGTTTCGATTTCAGACGAGGGATCGTACAGGGGGTCCGTGATGAGTGATGAAGATCGAGAGAGTGATAGAGAGAGAGACGACTGATTTGTGAGTGATCCCAACATTCAAGAGAGAGAGAGAGAAAGAGGTTTAAGGTAGGAGAGCGATTGGTGATGAGGGAGAGGGAGAGAGAGAGAGGTACCTGGGATGCTGAAAGTGAAGAGGTACTAGCACTTATATATAAGTTACGGCTTGCGAGTGATTGGATGAGAGAGAGTTGGGATCATAATAGATAATTTCAGTCTTCATCTCAGTCGTTGGATTATGCATTATTTATATATTTAAATAATATAAATATAAATCATAGTAAAATTTATTTATATATCAATAATACTAAGCTAATTATAGATAATATATTTATATAATAGTAGTGATAGATATTAATAACATCATTTTTATAAGTAATAATGCTACATGCACAACTTTATAGAAACGTGCGCAAAAAAATCAATGTGTGTTTCAAATTCATCTTACTTGGCAACACATTTACTTTTTTGTGCTATTTTTTTTTTAAGAGTTTTGATTAGGACTCTGCTTGGTTAGTAATAATAAATTCGAAATCAATAACTCACCTCTACAATGCATGTCCCACAAGTTCCTCCTCCCCCACAATTTAGCAGAGGTCTGGACTGAAAATTCAAAACACATAAACCATACTTTCAGTGTATCACTTTGAATAAATTGACAAGCAAAATTGATATAATGAACTAAAAAGACAAAATGGACACGAGGCAAATTATAGGAACAGTGGGTATAATTAATCATTTTTTTTTTTCACTTTCAAAAGAAAACAATTGAGCCTTTCTTCACTTTCAAAACTTGTTAAAGTAGTTGCAGAATGTGAAAAGAGAGAGTTCAAAAGAAAACAATTGAGCCTTTCTTCACTTTCAAAACTTGTTAATGTAGTTGCAGAATGTGAAGAGAGAGAGGAGGGCCTTACTTACATATGGTCCATACAATTCACTATTAGAATCCAACATAATGTCCCTAAGTTTCTGCCCACCACAAGCTACTCGAAAGTGCACATCCGGTGTTCCATCAGGAAGAAATCAGATTTCCTCATGTCTAAGTCCCCAAACTACTCATGTGAATGCACTAGTCATAAACTTCAAGAATTTAGTCAAATCAGCAAAATTTAAACCAAAAGGTTTAACACAGATTGGTCTACACACAGGTAGAGTAGAGGGACAAGAACCCTAGTGATCAAAGGTCATATCTCCTAGACCTATAGTCATAATATGAAAGGAATTAAATCCTAACTGAAATTATAAAGAAATGTAGACATACAGAGAAAGTCACATATGAGTTTACTTAGGTCAACTCAATGTTCATAACTTCAATGTTCATAACTCCATCCTAAATCCCAACTTCAATGTTCATACTGAGGTCAATTAATGCTTATTACATAATCTCCAAGTCACATATGAGCAAAACTAAAATATTACACTACAATCTATAAATGTGAATCCATTTAATACACTATCATAAAACAAGTATACTCATTACCGTCAAAGTGGACAAATAAATTACGCAAGTGGAAGTAAATTTGTCTCTTTGCTTGTACAATTTCGATACTATTTCACCGCCAGGTCCATGTCCTAATTTTGAATTTGCCATATTTAGGATTTAGTGCGTCGGCAATTTATGTAGACAAAACAACGGTTGATGTCCAGGTTAGAGTATAGCTCGAGTTTCCAAGCATTCAAGATTCAAGATCTTCAAAGATAACACAACGTGTTCCAATATCGTTACAAGTAAAATTTCATAAGCATATTGCATTAGTTTACGACACATTTTTAATACCTAAAATGACCTTAGTTTGCCCACTTTTTAGTCCTTTATGTGTTCAATACTTATTGATGGATAATGATATGAAATTAATAAATAATATAATTATATGCACTGGCAAAACAACAATATATGAAGAGTAAGAACACAGATCAGCAAGCAAACAGTTCAATAATGGGGGATATCTGAACTAAAAGTTTAATGAGAACCTTCCAGATCAGGATATTTATGGCAGCTTTTCCAAATGTTTAGTTTTACTTCCTTCAGCAGAAGATATTACTTCCTTCGGCAGAAGATATTTTATAACCTAATTCAATACTAAAAATTAAATGCATTAAGTAAAAATCAATTAAATCCATTTGATAAATATGAAAGATTATTAGTTCGACCGAATTATTAGTTCAACTTTCATTTTTCCAACTAAATATTGAATTATCCATTCTGTTAGATATAGAGTTCAATCCCATAAGTTATAAAATGCCACTGTCTAATCAATTAACTACACACTTCTAAATACAATAAAGATGTTCATGCATTAGCAGATTTGGCTAAAATGCTAACATAGGAACAACAACACTAATGGATAAAGAAATCTGCTCTTCAAAGCTAATTAAACTAAATCCTGGCAACACCAAAATATCATCAGAGTTTAGAAGATAAAGCAAGACATTGAAGCAAAAGGGCAACGAAACACCCTTGTCCAAAACCATATAACAACGTAAAGCAACATTGAAACGAACACTGAGAGAGAGTATATACATATTTAGCAAAAAAAAAAAGGGTATGGAAAGTGAAAAACAGAGCTAGATCTGACCTAATCGAGCAATGAAAAACCCTAATCTATAATCGGCCTCACAACAGGGCTGCTCTGACGCCGCTCGCCATCGATCGCGAGAGAGAGAGAGACAGAGACGCTTACCTGTGTGGGAGTCGATCGGTGCAGAGATGCAAAACCAGAGAGTGAGTGTGAGACTGATGAGATGAGAGAGTGAGGGAGACAGATCAGATCAGAGAAGAGAGATATATATCTGATATATATATATATATATATA